TCATTTTTATCCACGTTTTATAAATGAGGAGTCCATAAATGAGATGTTGGAAGACTTAATACCTGACTGAAAATTCATTACTGAAATTTAACACCTAGTAAATTGTTGGGGCAAAACTCAAACTCCTGTCTGCCTGTCGTTAGCCTGAGCTTATAACCATTACACGGCCGGGGTTGGCAATTCAATGGCCACCGTGTGTTTTTGTACAGCCTGTGAGCTAAAGTGGTTTATACATTTTTAAGTGGTTAAAAAAAATCAAAAGAAGAATATTTCATGCCATGTGAAAATTATATGGAGTTCAAGTTTCTGTGTCTGAGTAAATTTTATTGGAACATAGCCACATGTTTGTTTACATATTATCTCTGCTTTCATGCTACAATGACAGAATTGAGTTATTGAGACCGAAACCGCGGGCTACCAACCAACCCTATCTGGTCCTTTGTGGAACAAATTCACTTGTTTCCTCACCTGTAAAATGGAAGCAGGACAAGGATTCAATTACAGTGGAATCTCTGTTCTTGAACTTCATTCATTCTGGAGGGCTGTTCGAGGAGCGACTTGTTCAAAAACCAAATTATTTTTCCCATCAGAAACAGGTATCAGTATGAAAGGGTTGTCAGGTCAACAACCAATGTTTTGTTCAACAACCAAGACATTCTTTTCTCCTGTGAACACCTTGGTCAAGAACCAAATTCTTCGAGATGGGAGATATTTGAGAACCAGGGTTTGACGGTCAATTATTCTTCAGGCCCCTTTCAGCTTTAGTGTTCTGAGAATTGTAGAGAAAGTCATCTAATCTTCTGCTTTGTGATGTCTCCACTTTCTCTGCCTTTCTTCAGATGAGTGTGCCTCTTGGAGGGAAAAGATAGAGCCTGTCTAAAATAGAAATACACCCATGCCCCCCCGCCCCCCCGCCATACATCTATGGCCTGACCTCCCATCTCTCTTTGCATGTGTCCTCTTATTGATTCATCTAGTCTGAGTCATAAGAAGGCTACCATTTCTTAGAGGCCTGTGATTCTCAGGCACTCACTGGGATTGTGAAGAAGGTTCAGAGATGATATATATAAAGTCAGGTTAATTATTTCTATTTTAGGGATATGAGAATTGAAGCTCGTGGAGGTCAGTTTGCTTCCCTAGGACACGTCAGTTAAGAAGCCATGGTGCCAGATTTTGAAACCCCGTCTCTCTGACCCCAAGGCCATTACTTCTCTTGAGTAATGTTACCTCTGCTTTCTGAGTACCTAAAGCCACTTCCCTACCCCACTCCTCACCTCATTCCTCTAATATGTCCCCCCTGCCCCTGCTCCCCCTGCTGCTTAATGGTCTTCTCTTTGGTGTATTAAGCTTGCACCCTGGGAACAACATTCCCTTGGATACCTTCTTCTGACCATGCTGCCAACCCTATCCCAGGCACCACCCTGGATGAGATCCCTCTCCTCCTGGATCTGTTTAGGGCAAAAAACCATGAATTAAATCTGGTTCTTGTACTTGGAGCGGTCAAAAGCACTAAATCTGAGTGTCCACATCCATAAAATGGGATGATTACAGCAATCACAGAGGCTTGATTTGGCAACTAAATGAGATCACTTCCATGGTACACCTAAGTATGCCTGGCATGTAATAGATACTAAGAATTGCAGCTCTTGGTCTCCTGTTGTTATGAAACAGTATTTTCTATCCTATTGCTTAGTCCCAAGCCCCAGAATTACTCTGCTTGGTTTTGTAGGGTGTTGCATTGCCTGTTTCCACGCAAACTTTCTAATTTACATTCAGCTTATTTTTACCCCCTAACATGCACTCTCTCCTCTGGTCAGCCTCTTATCTTTCTTTCCCTTTCACATAGCTTACCCCCTCCATACTTGGTACCTGTTCTTAGGTTGACTATTCTCCCCTCCTTCCCTTCAAGTCCTGCACACATGTCAGGCCTCAGCTCAAGTGTTAGCATCTCCTGTGACCAATCCCTCCTGTCCTGATCCCTTCCTTTATGAACTTCCTTTGAACTTGGAGTTGCAGAGCCACAGACTATGGCAATGAAAGTCATCCTGTTGTTCTTCCACGTGGCCAGGTTAAGTGTTCAGTAAGGTTATTCAATCTGTTTGTCTAACAGTGCCTTCTCTATATCATGTACATATTCTTCTCTGAATCATATACACTTTCCTTGTAGTATTCACCATTCAGCGGGCAAGAGTCTGAATGCTTATTCTATGATAGGCTCTGAATTAAGAAACAAAGATAGTAAGGACCAGTTTTACGCACTTGTACTTGAGAGTGAATGCCTTTTTAAGTACTTCCCTTGCTTTAAACTGATCCCAGCCCTGGTAAGGACCTTCACTTGCCCTAGATGCTCACTGGTGGGGGTGGGGCTTAGGGGGAATGATAGACACTCTAAAAAAAAGGCAGTATAATGTCTACGGTAGAGGTTCTAACAACACAGGTGGTAATGATTAACTTAGGGGTCATTAGGTAAGCTTCACAATGGAAATGACATTTGAGCTGGGTTTTGCAGGATGACTAAGAGTTTACCAGCGAGGAGAAAACATTTTAATCAGTAAAGGGTATAGGAACCGCAAAGGAGGCATGAACATGCATGTCCTGTGTGGTGTGTAAGCTTTTGGTACAACTGGGGTGTGTCTGGGGTGCATTGTCCGTAGGGCATTGAAGGAGAGGAGGTGATGGAGTAACCAAAATTCAGATTTTCTTTTTGACTAATAAGTTCTTGCTCCTCTTTAGTATCTTACTCTATTGCATATGAAAGATCTGAATAGACTTGGCCCTAAAACATTTTTAAGTAATCTAACCTTGAATTAGATTATTTAAGTCTAATTTGTCTCTCTGTACTATTGAACTACAATTTGGTTACTTTCAAGCTTTTTTTCCTTTTCTATCCCTGTGCTTGCTATGTGATGCACACTGTGAATGGATTGGTTGATTAGGGTCACGAGGTTTAGTGGCTCCTCATTTGGAAGTTTCTGGATGGACCAGAGTGCCCTGCTATTCTTGGTTGGTTTCCTAGCCTTGAGGGTGATTTCTACATCGATGAGAATTTGTTGTCAAATTGATTCATGTTGATCTTGGCAGGGAGGGAATCCAACTGAAAGAATTTGGGGTAGCTCATGAAAGCTGCCAGAGGGCCAGAGAACTGGAATCAGAGACAACAGAGCTGCAACAAAGACCCCAAAGACTCCAAAAAAGTGGGCTCGGGCAGACACGACTGCTCCAGCCAACACTGTTGGAAGTGCTGCCAGTAAAGCTCCCCAAACTGGATGGAGGTGCCACTGCCATTGTCAAGTACTGAAATGGCTCCTATGCTATCCCTGCCTGTTTACATCGCTAGGGACTACTCCCAAGTCTACACTGGTTGCCTTGGGCCCATTACTCTAGTGCAGAGGATGCTGGCAAAGTGAGTATTCAGCACTTTCAGCTTCTAATAATGGCTGGCTGACGCTGCCTCATGAGGTGGAGGACTGTCCAAACATAGGAAAGCGACTCAGAGGCCAAATGCATGACAGATGTCCACTGCCACCTCTAAGCTGCCCATTGTATGCATGCCACCAACTTTCTTTAGCTGGAGACATAGGAAATCCGAAGTGCATTTACATCAAGAAAAGATTTTACCAACTCTATGAGATAGAGGAAGGAAACTCGACTCGGGGAAGTTAAGCAGTGGAGAGAAAACTCTTGAGTCTTAGATTACTTACTGACCTCAAAAGCAAAAGGGCTGTCTCAGCCTTAGCTAGGTTTGTCAGAAGCTAATTCTAGTTCACTTAACAAAAGTAAAATTTTACATGGGGATGCATTGCCCTGATTTGTGAACAGTTTTCAGAAATCATAGGTAAAATCATAGGTAAAAGTTTATTTTATCCTTGTAAAGAACTTGATGTAGTAAAACAGTTATTTTTCCTTTTCCACAGAAGGGAAAGTTGCTGCATGTTTAAACGAAGTAGATTGGCCCTGGCAGGGTTGCTCAGCTGATTGGAGTGTTGTCCCAACACTCCAAGGTTGCAGGTTCCATCCTGGGGGGGGCACATGTAAGAATCGACCAATGAGTGCGTAAGTGAGTGGAACCAACAAATTGATGTCTTCTCTCTCTCTTTCCCCTCTTTTCCCTCTCTCTAAAAAACAATAAAGTGAAAAAAAAAAAGATGAAGTAGCCTATTTGAGGTTTCTCTAAGTACCAGGTGGCAGACCCCAGCCTAAGACCTGGGTTTTCAATTTCTCTTTCACTATTCTCACTCATACCATGGGTATTTCCCTATAGAATTCCCTGATCTTTGCGTAACAAATGAATTGCCTATAAATAGCTGAGTACCATAAGGAGTATTAAAAGAACTTTTGATTTGATGCATAACGATTGGTTTGGTAGGACATAAACAATAGCTTTATTACTTATGGGTGGTTATTTGGACGAGGGATTATGTTGCATTTCTATATTCTGGCTTGAACAAGTAAACCCCGTGAAGGTCTCTCTTCCTTATTTTGAGATATTTATACTGTCAAGTTTAGTTTCAAATGTATCAATCTCAAATGTATTTCAATTCATTAAAATACATATGGTGCATTGCACAGGAAATCAAATGGGTACACACACACCTAAGGAGTTAAGAGTTTAAGCAAGAAAAAAAACATTTATTTCTTACCCTGCAACAAAGGTATTTTGGGTATATAGCATGTTGTCTTACCAGCTGCTGCTTCCTTTAGTGTTAGATTAGCTTTCTTTGCCTTAGTCTCTTCTGATGATTAATGGAAACTGGGGTGTTTCCATTAATATCAAGTTTATATAATCAAGCCAGTAATTGACAGTTTAGTGTTAGGCAACAGAACCTTGCATTCTCCCAGGGAATGAGAACAGAGTACAAGGGTACAGACAACTTAGATTTACGTTAGTCAACAAGTGTTTTGAGTGACGCACAGGAAGCCTAAACTACACTAAGTGCTTAGAGATTGAATTGCTGGATCAAGAATCATGTTACATGGGCTAAATCAGTAGTAGCAGGATGAGCTGAGCCAAGTTACGTTCTGTACCTCAGTTTCTCCACCAGTGTTTAATCTGCTACGTGCCAGACCTCCACCTGTATGTTAGTTCATTGCTTCACTAATAACCTGCTAGGTAGGTGCTGTTTTTCTGCCTTTTGTAGGTGAGGAAACCAAAGCTCAGGGAGGTTGAGTAATTTTCTTTGAGGTCATGGAGCTTGTTAATAGCAGGGTGGGGAATACAAACTTAGATCAGGGGCTCTCCAGAGCCACTAAGCCTCCTTGCCTCTTCTCATCCTCTGCCTGGAGGGCACTTTCACTTCTGCCCACAGACACTGAAACACAAGTGTCTCTGCCACCATTTTTTATTGTCCAACGGCTGTGTTTTGAGTTTATTGGGGAATGGGTACTTGAAACCACAATGGCTGGACTTCATAATGATTTTTTTTTTAAAGATACTGAATTGTGCAATTCTGTAAAGTAGCTGAATTTGATCCTTTTGGCAGGTTTGAGGATGTGCATGATTTCTGTAAGTTCACATTTTATTGTAATTTTTGTTTCCTACCTACAGGGAGTTGTAGGTAAAGGTAAGTGTGGGAAGTGGAATTTGATGATTGCCAGGAGGCAGTGTAAGAAACAGGGGTTGGGACGGGGGGAAATGGAGAGAGGAAGGATTAGAGCAATGATTTCACGTGGGCTCTCTGGGGTGAGCATTGGCGGACCAGAGAAGGGTCAGTTAAGACAGGCATAACAGCAGCGAGCAGCAAGTAAGGCACAGGGATCGCCAGCAGGGAGGCAGGCTGAAGAAGAAACAGGGCTGCGTCCAGGGAAATGCAGACCTGCCAGACGATTGAGGTCAGTTGGCAGACAGGGCCCTTTCAACCCGAAACTGAGAGACTGCCTCTGGAACGCGGCAGAACCGGGACCCTGTGACTCAGGCGGAGGGTGAAGGAAATCAGCCCGTCAGCCTAGGACTGAAACAGGGACACAGCTCTCCTCAAGACTCCTGCAGCGCACCCCCAGTCTGTCTTGCTGTTGCTAATTCACATGCCCAGGGGTGCCTACCCCACTATAAAATCAAGCAATTGGCTCAGTTACCTGGCTCTGTAGGGAAATATTCTCAGGGCATTTTTTTTTTTCCAAACTCAAAATTTAGTCCTCTAAGCACTGAGGCCTCATTCAACCTTGTTTTTCTGGAGACTCGAAAAGGCACTCTCTTTTTTTCTTGTCACTTAAATGTAATCTAGCTTTTTATTGAAGAAACATGACCATCTTCATGGTCTGCAGTGCACAGAGAGCTCATGAGAGGTGGCTAAGGTGCGTGCCTTCCTGTGCCGGCCATGCTGGGTGCTTCTGGGGCCCCCTGTTGCAGCGGTCAGTGCTGCTGCCCTGGGCCCACTTGCAGTGGCAGCCACCGCCAGGCAAAGCCCTTTCTGGTCGCCGTTGCGCTTTTCCCCGGCTCTCTTCCCCAGCCACATCTCTGACTCTCTTGGGCCCAGCGGCTTCCTTCTCCAGCCATCCCCATGGAACCAGAGGCTCCTTCCTTCCAGCCAGTGAACGGACAGTGTGCAGGGCTGCACGCTGGTGTTCTGCCCCATCTTGGCTCTTCGCAGCCTTGCCCAGAGTATTTGTTTTCATTGCCGGCAGTGGGGTGCTTCCCCCCTCATTTTCATTTTTTGCTTCTCATTTCTTCTGTCCTGGGGATTTGCAGCTTTTTCACGTGGTGAGTGTGCTACAAGAAAGGCTCCCTTGACAATGGAGGTGCCAGTAGGTGCTGCAGGGCTGCCTGTGTATAGCTGTTGCAGGCGATGGGCTGCGTGTGCTGTGCCAAGGCCCAGGGCAAAGGTCGGCACTCCCAGCTTACTGGCTTTGAAAGGGACTTCACCTACCCTTTGATGACAGTGGTGAGTTATAAAGGAGCTGGTTTTTCTCCTTTTAGTTTAATTAAGAGCATGGGTTTCGGAGCCAGGCTGCCTGAGTTCAAATTCTGACTCTTCCCTAAATTAGCATTAGGTAAAGTCCTTAACATCTTTGCTTCTTAATCTGTAAAATAGGGATAATACTAGTACCTAGGACATAAGGCCAATATGAAGATTCTGGTACATATTTTATTTATATATAAAGACATCAAATATGAAATCATACTAAATGTATATACATATGTATATATGTATATTATATTTTTATATTAAATCACATTATATTTATAATATAGTCTATATATTTTATTATATATTATTATAATACATGATATTATATGTTATTATATAATGACATACATAGGACACAGTATATAAACTGTGCATATATATTTAATATATGTATGTCTTTTAGGACAGAGCTAGTATACAGCAAGCAGGTGATATATAAGAGTTTACTCATTATTTTTTTGGTTTTGTGGAGGTTTTTATTTTTATTTTTGGAGGGGGGAGTACATTTTTTGTTTTTGACTTATAAGCAAGGCTGATTATTGTTCCTCAGACTCGCCTGAGTGGTCGGTTGTCATTTCTGTCCTTATGTTAAAGATACAGTAGTTTGCAAGTAGCAGGCACTGAGTGAGTATGTGTAGCTTGATTTAAATGTGAAGCACGATAAACACACCTGGCTGACCCTGAGCCAGAGGCAGTGGTAGCATTTGGAAAGGTTGGTCTCCAGGTTGCCTGGCCAGGAGGTAACCAGTTGGTCCACCTGCCCAAACCCTTGGACCTGAAGATAGCACGCTTGTTCCCACCGTTTTTCTGCTCTGTCTCAACTGTTGGGTTTGGGATGAACGTTTAGAGGCCAGGCTCCGGCCCAGCCTTCATCCGTGCTTTGCCTCTCTGCAACGTGCCGGGGTTGGGGTGCCGGGGACCAAATCTGGTGTTCCCATTTGGGGTAACGGGAGTAATTTTCCCCTTGAGACATTTTTCTTTTTAAGAGTTGCTTTTCATGATAAAGTTGAGCTAGGAAGTAAGCCCAAGTTTTTAATTAAAAAATACATTCTTGTGATCATCTTCTATGCCAGAAAAATTTAAATAAGACCCAAAATCCTCAGAGTAGTTACAGTCTAGAAGGACATTTTTTGTAAACACACACATAGAGGCTAAAATATACTAGGAACACTAGGATAGGAAAGTATGTTTGGTACTTGGAGACACAAAAGCAGGAGGGTTCTATTTAACCTTTACGTGAAATGGGATGAGCAGGGGTGAATCTTGAAAATGTTTATGGAAGAGATTTTATTTGAGCTGAATCCAGAATGTTGAGTAGGTTTGCATGAGTCAGACGGGAAAGGAAGCATATTCGAGACAGAAAACAACATGAGTAAGGTCACAGAACCTCAAAGCATCCTGGTGGTATGAGAATTACAAGAATCCGGCATGGCTGAAATGAAGTAAGCATTAAGGAGAGCAATGAGAATTCACAATAGCAAATGGTCAGGGGTTATCAGCAGCACGCTGGAGCTGGCTCGTGTCTGGCTCATGAGAGAGAGCCATTTATTAAATAGCCAGTAGTTCTGCAAGCTCCTTGTTAAACTGTTGATTACTTGAAATTGACAGTGGTGAGGATATTTACACCCAGCAAACGCTAAATGTCAGGGCTTTTTTTCCTTCCTCAGCGTGGCCTTACCAGTGCTCTACCGGCTGTGATGCCCTTGTATGCCTGACAATTATTCTTTAGGGTCCCTCTGTGGAGGCCTGACAGAGCCAATGCAGGCTGATTGGCAGGGGAGCAATATGATCAGGTTTGTAACTTAGAAAGATAACACTTTGTGTTGGTCCTGGCCCGGAGGAAACAGACCCAGAAAAGGAGATATTGGGGAGGGTTCTTGGCTCTAGCATTTGAGGGGGAGCAAAGGAAACGGTATTGGACAGAAGGAAGAGCTGAATGATGAAACCACTGTAAGACTGGTTCTCCAGGGACGCTTTGGAATGGGAATGGTGCATTGGAGCGGTCCCACCCGGAGGCATAGGGGCCAGGCCTTCGCACACCTGCAGTCACTGGGGGAAGGCTGCCCCCGTAGAGGGGTACGTGACCATGGTGAAGTGGCTCTCTTCAACTGAGGGCACCCCCCAGAGAAGGCCTAGCAAGCAGGGGAAGGAGTGCCTCAGGCCTGGAGGCCATTCTGGGTGTTGCACCCCATTATCCACGTCACTCAGGTGGCAGTTTGGGGGGGGTATAGGAACCTAGGAGGGAGGCAAGGAGAATGGTTGGGAGGGCGTTGCAGAAGTCCAGATTAAAGATGATGAAGGCGTTCAGTGAAGCAGCATCCACGGGGATGGAGGAGGCAGGGATGGGCAAGTGAGAAAGTGGGGTCTATGGCACTGGTTCTTCTAACACAGTGGTTCTTAATGCAGGGCAGGGGCTGCCCCCCCAAAGTCGGGAAACATTTTTGATTGTCATAAGTGGGTGGGGGTCGTGTGTCTGTGTGTATGCTACCGGCATCTCATGGTATGAGACGCTGCCAAACATCTTGTAATGCCCGGGACCCTGCCCTATCCCTCACAAATAAAGAACTTTTCAGCCCCCAATGCCAGTAGTGTCAAAGTCAACCTGGTATTCTGAGTAAAGGAAATGTGCCAAGCCGCCTTTCTCTGTGCTTGCCCTGGGAATCTGGGAATTGAGTCCACGATTCAGTACCAGATGGTTAAAGTGGAGCCAGTACTTGACCGATGGGCAGAGGTGAGAAGAACTTTTATAAGCAAATATATGTTGCATTGTCTCCAATGCCCTGCCTGGCTCCTGTGAAAATTTTAATTCTATGGAGCAATAGAGTCTCTTGTCTTTCCCTTCTGTCTCCCTTCCAATAGATTAAAGTAAATTAGACCTTCATCCTGTATTTAAAACCACAGAGGTGAAAGCAAAAAATAATAAGGAGGGCTCTTACAATAGACTTTGTTTTTCTTGCTACCATAGTAAAAGTTTTACAGAGAAATGAACTTCAGGGATACTTGTAAAATGCACGGCCTAGGTTTTAGCCAAGTAGTAAAGCAAAGAAGATTAAATGAACAAAATTAAATTTAATTCTGCAAAACCAGAAGTTGATCAGAGAAGTTCTAACTTAGGCAGTGGACAAGCCCTATATAAAATACCTTAGTTTGCTTCTTAACATGAGCGTATTCAATTATAGCAGTTGGTAAGGTCTGGGTTTTTTTT